GAGGAAATGAAGTGGACTGGACGTAGGCAGGACACCGCTGGCAAGGTCGATGTCTGAGAGTCGAGACTGCTGATGGTGGCATGGCAGCAAAGAGAGGCCACGCGCTGCGGAGATGGAGCGACGAGACGAGCTTGTGTGCCGGAGCGAGTCGAGCTGTGGCATCGCAGACCGTGGGGGTTGGCGTCAACCCGGCAGTGGATTGATCATGGATGTTAATGATGAAGATATGCGAAGGGTTTGACGTCACAGCGCCAGTCTATGTCGGAGGCTACACGCGGGATCTCTGTGCAACTTTAGGGTTGCCGCCACGTGGGGATAGTACGATATATAATTATTGTAAGGTATGATCAGCAATAATCATCGTCAGCCTTAACTCGCGTGGGGGCAGGGGGTGCCTTGCCCCCCCCTCCACCCTGGTGGCCAAAGCTACGAGTTGGGGGGCTTGACAGCCACCATAAGATTTGTTTTCAACATAAACGTATTTAAAACGCGGTTTAAATATCTTTTGTATGAACACTTTTGCTTTGAAAATAATTTGCTTTGCATTACAGTTACTTGAGTAAACAAACATTGGACATAAAACTCCGTTTCTGGGATATTGATTTAATTTGATACGCGTCAATAATATTGCAGAGGGGGTAACTTAGGGAGCTGTGGTGGCTGCATTTTGTGAAGACGGAGCGCGCCCCTACAGCGTGAAATGTTCGAGACCGTGAGCGCAGCTACGGCGACGACGACGACGATGATGTGATGAGACAGAGAGGAGCCGCGATCTCTATCAGCCTCGAGGGTGCCCCTGTGCGAGACAAATCAAATGTTGAGGTCCCACCTCACCGACTGCCGCACACCCTGAGCAGGCGATGTCGTTACGACAACAATGGCAATAATTGTATCGTGGAATTTTAAAACATTCATATGATTTTGATTGCTTATGTGATTACAATTTTTTTTCCTGACAACAGATGGAAAAACAAGTATTAATTTCTAGGGTATATATATACATATTTTACGAATTTGAACCTTATGGCGGGACCCCAGGGTCCCAAAAGCCCCCGGCTCTCGCATAAACATTATAATGTAAACACTATATTATAATGTAAACATATAATATATAATGTAAACAAAAACTTTGCTCTTTTTCACCAATGGGTTTTAAGGATGGTGGCAAGTGTTGTCTTGTTAAACTATGCCTTTAAAACTGAAAACTACTTACCTGCAGTACCATGATATAATTACACTATCGAAAAAACAATTAATACCCCTCTGCCAATCGTCGTGTTTCTCAGTGTGGACTTGTGAACACACTTTGTAAACAGTACATAAAATAGTACACGTTTTCAATGCGCTGTTCATATTGTAACAAACGTTTATACCAATGTTACTCTACAGAGTAGTGGGAAGCCGCTCCTCTTATCCGCATTGATACGAGCGATATGTGGGGACTATGGCTTAACCACACAAAAAGCCCTATCTGCACAGATGCATACGGACAAGAGAAGTAATTTAATTTGATTCAAAGCTTTCGTGACTGCAGGGATTCATATTATTGGTTCTTTCGGTAAAGTCACGTAGAAGGGAAACGTTTTATATTTTTATTATTTTATTGTTTCCCTTCTACGTGACTTTACCGAAAGAACCAAGAATAAGATAAGCATTATCAAACAGGAGGAATTAACGGTGCAACGCATTTCATCTGTTAAATATCTGCAGGTAATAGGATTGTCATCGATTGACCCTGGCTGCAGACATTGTTAGGCCACAAATAATAATGAAGATAAGAGAGCAGTTTCACTGTATTATGCATACCGTGATGACAAAATAAAGGACTTCAGTCGTGTAGGCGGTTTGAGCAGCTTTGGGTAAGACTTGTTATGATCCTTCCCATACCCGAGCATGGAGTGCGTGCGTTCGCTTGTTCAGCTCTTGTGCGCATTCGTCCTCGGTGCTGTGCTTGGAGGACAACAGATCGATCCGCGCCACGTGGGTCGCCGCGTTTATGTACGCGGTGGGACGGAGTCGACAAAAATACATTCAAAATAAATTCGTCGCAAAAAAATAAATTCAAAATAAATTCCTCGCCAAAAATAAATTCGTCGCCAAAAATAAATTCAAAATAAATTCGTCGCAAAAAAATAAATTCAAAATAAATTACTCGCCAAAAATAAATTCGTCGCCAAAAATAAATTCAAAATAAATTCGTCGCCAAAAATAAATTCAAAATAAATTCGTCGCAAAAAAATAAATTCTAAATAAATTCGTCGCCAAAAAAAAATGTGAAATAAATGCATTCATTACGATTTCATTCGGGACCCCGGGGTCCCGCCATAAGGCTCAGTTGATGCATGTGCTTTATAAATGGTCGTTACAATGATCGTAAATAATCATAAAAACCTCAACGCGTTCGTGCCCGCACCTCCGGTGAGCGCGGCTGGCTACGTACGGTGCGAAAGAAGTTCACCGTGCTGTACAATACGTCAATGCCACCGTGTGGCCTTACAAAAAAAGACATCATAATCGACGTTTAGGGCAATAGTACCAAAACAAGTGATCCTAGCAGGCCTGCGTTGAGTGAACTTGGCGAGTTTTATCGTGAACGAGGAAATCGTAGCAGCAACAACAACAACAACGGGAGGGAGGGAGGGAGGCGGCGCCCGCCCGCCAGATTTTTTGGCGGGAGAAATGAAGATGAGGAGGAGGAATTTGCGGTCGAATAGCGGCGACCTCGGATCATGGATGATTTGTCCGTTCTTAGCCCCTTCCTAATTAGCCGTTTCTCTCCACCCAATCTGGTTGAGCCATCTGACGCCACAACACACCTCTCAAAACGTTGCATTCCCATTTCTACCTTCCTCAGAGTCCAAGATGCTGCCTCCTACAACAGCGCCACCACACTCCACTCCCCATACCACAAACAACTCCACACCATACTACACCATACCACAAACAACTCCACACCACACTACACCATACCACAAACAACTCCACACCACACTACACCATACCACAAACAACTCCACACTACACCATACCACACTCCACTCCCCATACCACAAACAACTCCATACCACACGACCCTGCATGCCATACTACACTCCACACCGCACTCCTTAAGCACACTGCACTCAATACCACACTACACCATACCACACTACACCATACCACATTACACTCCATACCACACTACACCATACCACACTACACCATACCACACTACACCATACCACACTACACTCAATACCACACTACACTATACCACACTACACCATACCACACTACACCATACCACACTACACCATACCACACTGCACTCAATACCACACTACACTCAATACCACACTACACTCCATACCACACTACACTCAATACCACACTACACCATACCACACTACACTCCATACCACACTACACCATACCACACTACACCATACTATAACCACAGTACACTCCCCACCACACCACACTCCTTAACCACACTGCACGCCATACCACCCTATACTCCAGAGCACACTACACCATACCACACTACACCATACCACACTACACCATACCACACTACACTATACCACACTACACTATACTATAACCACAATACACTCCCCATCACACCATACTCCTTAACCACACTGCACGCCATACCACCCTATACTCCAGAACACACTACACCATACCACACTACACTATACCACACTACACTATACCACACTACACCATACCACACTGCACTCCCTACCACACTACACGCCATACCACCCTATACTCCAGAACACACTACACCATACCACACTACACCATACCACACTACACCATACCACACTACACCATACCACAGTGCACTCCCTACCACACTGCACGCCATACCACCCTATACTCCAGAACACACTACACTACACCATAACCACAATACACTCTCCACCACACTTCATTACACACCAACTTTCACACCACACTCCTTAACCACACTGCACTCTGCTCTATACCACGCTGTACTCCACATCACCCTTCACACGTTACCACACTTTACTCCATACCATACTATGCATCATACCACGCGATACTCCATACCGCACTGCCGCTCCGTACCAGCCTCTTCTGTAACTATGGTTAATTCACTCATCTTCTCACCGGCATTCTTCTCTTGCCGAGTGCTGCTTTTCCCATGTCAATCGTGCCTCTAGTCGCCTCAGAGTATCTTTCATCTGTTGTCATCCTCATGACGGCCACGCGTGGTCTTCTTCAGTGGAGTCCATTCTGGGTTCCCAGAATGGAGCGTCTTAGTCTAATTCACCAAAACGCATCCCCTGATATCCGCAGCCAGTTGTGTTGACGGACGTTTATTGACGCGCAGGGACAAGTATGGGAAGAACGCTTGCTTTGTTCATGACACTTATGATTAGCTTGTGTTGTGTGTTATACAGTTTAATTGTACTAGGACTCGTATCTAAGATAAGAGGGTCGTTGAATATACACATCTGGCAGTTCACATGGCAATATTTGTTCAAGCGAGGCCGAGTGCTGGTGAGAAACTGAATGGCAAAACCCAGTCCAGAGTTTGCTTGTGTTGAACCAATGCTGCTGAAATGTGTAGTTGTGGGATGTGTTAAAAACAGTCATTTTATTTTTAAACGTGGAGAGACACATCTGGGAATAAGAATATTGTGTGCTTTTTTAAATTGCTGTTATACATCACTGAAGTGCTTATGTATAGCCGTTCCAGATGCTGAACGACGCTTTCCAATCAGAGTTTGAGAATACAAGAAACTAACAAGAATCTGTGCTCTTTATTTTCCGACAACAGAGTACAGTCGATATTAATATGAATTCAACTTGTGCCCATACATGCAAAGACACAAACATGCAAAGACAAATGCATGCACCACCAACTGGAATGATTCCTGTTCGTGTGAACAAGAGACCCAGGGCTGTAATGGTTGAGTGCACGTCAACATTCCACGAACAGGAAAATATTTGGTCATGGGGTTCAATCTTTTTTGATTTCTGTATTGCGAATTTGTTGTACAAATCTGGAGATATATGTGGGAGGGGTACCACTGGAGATTAAAAAAAACAGCAGAATCTTGGCGCCTAGGACAGACAAATTTTGTCAAAAAGTTTTATTGTACACAGGTAAGGTCCACTGAGCTATAACAGCTCTTTTTCAGTAGCGACCTGGCCACAAAGCATAGCTCAATGAAGTTGCTTATCACGTGGAAAAGTATATCAGCCAAATACTGTAAACGCATGTCGATTTTAAATGTGCAGGGGAAAACCAGAGTAGCCGAAGAAAAATGCACGCTACCAAGGGAAGAACACGCAAACTCCAAATATACAGCAGGCGTCAGGGTCGGGATCGAACCCACGATCTCCTGTATACCAGGCGAGGGATTTAACATCTCATCACCGAGATGTTAATTGATGGTGGACCGAGATTAATACGGTGAAATTATGAGGTGGATGAAAGTGCTTGGGAGTGTGTTTCAGAAAACTGTACTTGATCAATTTTGGTTTTACACAACAATAAAGCGCACCATACACTCCGCAAACGCCCACCGCCACAAATAGCACTTGCCTGCTGCTCTGCTCAATGATACCTTAAATATACAGCCTCGCAATCGACGTTGAAAACTCTTGTTCAGTACTCATACTTTTGGTTCTTTCGGTAAAGTCACTGGACGTGAGCTGGGGTGCTTGCAGAAGCTCAACATGGGGCCCTTATTCTAAGTGTCTCGGGAGGTGTGATATTGATGATGCACAAGCGCCTCTCCAGGCTAGACTGCTCTTCAGGGTTGTTTGACCATAATTCACCAAGCTGGTCAGTAAAAGTTGGGAGCATAGACGTTGGAGCATAGTACAGTACAACAATGGGTTTTGCTGCACTTCCCCATGCTGACAACGTAGCCCTCGCAGCTGCCTATAACATCTGTTGTGCAAGGTGGTGGTCGGCCATCCAAGCACGATGCAGGCTCCATCCTGCTGAGCTTCCGAGATCTGACGAAATTGGGCGCATTCTGGTTGATTTGGTCATAGGCATTAACATCTTGAACATCAAGAGGCAATTGATGCCTTCTATTTTATTTAATTCCAAATGTGCTACAGTGCCATGCCACGAGATGAAGAAATGTCCATTCGGAGCTCTGCCGCAGAGCAACATATCACCACCCCGTGTTAGAAAACGGCCCGTCGAAGGAGATATCACAGAACTTCTTCCGACATCCCTTCAAGTGACCTCTTATCCACACGAGGCGTGCTGCACATCCACATGCACCCTGCTGTAGAGACCTTCGTCACATGGCAGTGAAACCGAAATGGTTTTTTTTAATTGTCACTGCTAACATTTTGCCAAATTAACTGAAAAACCAAGTTTCATGTAAGCGACCGAGGAGATGGCATCATCTCGCTGAATTTGAGAACACAGTTTATTCGGATTCAATTTGGAATAAACTGCCCGGTTTTGAATGTCAGGATCTCAGCAATATCGGCCACGGAATCAAATGGCCACCTCCAAATTGAGCTTTTGACAATCTGAGAATCAGGGCCCCACGTGCTACAGTGTCTGCATTTCACCTTGAATGCCAATTATTGGGTCGAGATTTCAAATCCTGGTCAGGATCATAATCTAATGTTCCATTGTAAATTGAATGTAAAAAAAATCCCGAGTCTACAGTCTGTAAGGTGATCACTATACATTGAGGCTGCATCATCTGGCAATGAAAGTGAGCAGAGGTTGTTTTGTTCCTTATTGAGCCTTGATGTTGTCACGGTAAAGTTGAATGTTTACAGCTCGGCTGAGTGCTCCCAAACAGAGGTAACCAGTTAGCAATGGCCACCACTCATAGGGGCACGAATTCCTGACTTGACACATTCATGCAACCGTTGCCCCTGCCAATCACCTTCTCACGTCTATTTCGTCAATACAGGATTCATTATATATTTAGTTAAACAAATTATTTAATCCAAAAATGATGTATTGGTAAAACTTTGGTTGTAATTTTTAAAAAATGTGGTAGTTGTTGCTATTTTCATCAAGTTCATAAGATTAGTTCCCAAATAAAGCCCGTTGAGTTCTACCGTTTTGCTCCAGGGTCACTCGGCCTGCTGAACTTTTGCTGATCCCACTGAAAATAAGAAACTAGAATTGACCACGAGGTATGAGATAATCCACGAATGTGTCAGTTACGGCAGAAACAAATAGACCAATTGTTATCTTGTCAACATATTTGTGGATGTTATGTTTCCTGCAACTACATAATCATCTTTCTTTAAAAAAGTCACCCAATTTGATCCTGATTGTGTTATCGGTGTCGCATCGTAAGACAAAGAATCCATTAGCAACTCTGGCAGAGCAGTGCAATCCTTTCAGGTTAGATAACGGTCCATGGAAGTGGATATTACAGAGCTACCTCTGAGATCCCCTCCAGTGACCGTTGATCTATAAAGTAGAGGGCAGCTATTTCCTACCTGCTCTGCATAATGATGAATAACCTTCATCGCACGACAGTAAAGCCGGTGTATTTAATTCTGAGAGTTGGATTTTAGCTACATTAAGTGCAGAGCTAAATTTTATTGTATTGTTTATTTGTGTGCAGTCATTCCTGACCAGGCCGAGACCATAAAAGTGCCACACTTGAGAACCCGGCTTAATCGCAGGCAGCTGCCTGGATTCGAACCAGGCTTCTCAGTGGTGCCAGCTCAATTCTGACATGATTATCATTCTTAACTTCATAAAATTACTGTCCTTTTTGTTATTGTAACTGACACACTTGTGGAATTTCTCTATGGTTTATAAAGTATATCTTGAAGACATTTTTTTATATCTTAAACTATTGAGTGTTATTCTAAGTGACTTAATTAGTAAACCTTGTTAAAACCATACCAATCAACTTCCCCCCCCTTCATGCACAATTAAGATTCCATTAAATGTCATAAACAGACCAATCGTTTCCCTTCATGCAAAATTTCGGTTGACTTTTCATTACAATGACTGCATCCTATGAAATGACTGCAATGCAGGCAATTGCAGAACTTTAACAAAAAAAACAAATGTGTTTTCATTCTCTACTATTTCGTTAATTCCGCAAATGACATTAAAATAAAAAAAATATTATTGTGTTATAATTTTGTAGTTCTGTAAAAAATAAACCACACCAACATTTTGCACCGAATGGCCATAAGTTCATTTCCAGTGTCACCGACTGAACGTTGACTGCAAGCAAGATGGTGCAACGGCCAACTATTAAAATGTGTTAATGCTTTGCCTGTCACATTCGCCAGGCATTCCGAAGCAGCCACAATGACCTTCTTCATGTGAATTTCAGTTTTTGGTGTTGCAGAAAAAAATAAGTCCCATCAAAATTTTCACCCAAGACATTTTACGTGCGGTATATGGTTGCCACCTGTGCTGTAGAAGATATGAAGACATTTGGGGGGAAAATATCTCACAATTCCCGAAGAGGGGATAACCATAGGTACGTGCATTCTCTTGAGAGGTGTATTATTTCACGCAATTGACAGAAATGGGGACTTTCATTGTCCTGGGAGGACCGACAGATTTCCGAGGACAACTAACCTCAGAAAAAGGGAAAGAGCTGGGGGGGAAAACCGTGACAGGCGGCAAGCCAAGACGTGAGACATCCGCCGGAGCCTGGAGCGTGTGTCCACTTTGGTGCACTGCGAGCGGTAATCTCGTTCCAGTGCCATTCACGGCACGAGGCGTGCCACGGTGTCGAACGCATGGTGGCAGCAGCCACACGCCATGTGCCGCACCATCTCGTCCACCAGCGTGGGGTCGCCCTCTTCGGCGAGGCGCGTCGCCATCAGCACGGCGGCGGCCACCGAGCCCAAAATCGAGGCCAAGGGGCCTCTGCTCGAAAGGAGGCGTTCCAAGAGAGTGCACGTCTCGACGGACAGCGCTGGCAATGCTGCTGCTGTTTGGGTTGATATCGCTGGTAGCTGGGTGGTTGATGTTTCTCGTGGTTGGGTTGATGGCGCCAGTGGCTGTGGTGATACTTCGGGGGACGTCGACGCACACGTTCGGCCCGCGCGCCCTCGCTGCTCGGCGTTCCACAGCTGCCGTATGAACACAGCGATAGAGCCCGTCTGCTCGTCGCTGGGGGCCTGCAGATGCACGGCATATGCGCTGAGAGTCACGGCAACCCCCAGAGCGGCTCTTCGCAACGTGGCCACGGTGCCCGGTGGCCGACGGCCACTCCCGTCGTCGTGCAGGAGTCCGTGCACCACCACCCTGAGCTCCTCACTCATCGCCTCGGCGGGAAGCGATGAACACGAGCACTGAGCCAACGCTTCACCCGTGGTCTTGATCGAGAATAAATTGAGAGCCTCTCCGACGGCGGTGCAGACGGCCAACACGGAGACCGCCGCTCCCACCGCCGGGTCCGTTGGGTGCTTCTTCAGGAGCGACACCGCCTCCGCTGTGGCCGTGAGTGTCCCGAGCGAGGAGTGTCTTATGAGCGTCTGGGTGATTGAACTCACGTGCCGCTCCTGTTGGGCATCGGGAGCCAGTACTTTCAGTGCCAGGGCGCAGCTGTCCACCACGTTCTCTATTTCGCTGCTGGCGAAATCAACTTGGTGCTTGCCAGGCGACTGGTTCATTAGCCTGAATAAGTGGTCTTTGACTTGGTGACCAACTTCTTTAATTGAAAGCAGCTGAGAGGAAGGTGAAATTGTCGCCTGTCCGTATTCGTCCGTTGCTGTCGCTCTGCCTTGTTTGGTCACCGAGCAGCTTTGTGTGATTTCTGTGGCTTTTTGTGTTTGCATGTCATGCTTAGATGTTGTAGTAATTTCCGGCTGTATCATGCATTCGCAAATGATTGAGGCTGTTAAATGCCTACTGTACGTCTGACTTGCCTTGTGTGTTTCACTGCCCTGCTCATCTGCAGTCACGTAGCTCTTGGGCGCAACATCTTCAGATGTTACTTTATCAGTGTCAGCTGCTGTTGCCTTTGGCAGTTTGACAGCCTCGGCGTGTGATGGATGCAGTGGCGGCTCGTTTGTGGGATGCTGTGCGTTGTCCGTTAACGCCGGGTGACTTGTTTCTTCCGTGCAATTTTCAGCCGCCTCGCACGCGACTTGCCCAGGTTCACCGCCGTCTGTGCTCGTCGCATTGTCTAATTTCTCTGCTGTCTTGTCACCAAATGGAAGCAGACCCTGGAGACTTTGTATAAAAGACTGCTTGCGTGTTGTTTTGGGAGTTTCGCCTCGAGGAGCAGTTGTGTCATATGTGTTCGCTTTTGTCTCTGTGGATATCATCTGCTCTGTAGTGGTGCAGCTCTTATCCAAGTCACGTGCGATTTGATTGGCCCTGTCACTGCTGTCTGACAATCCTGCTTCTGACTCATTCACGATTTTCTCTGAAATACTGAATTTCCCCTTGGAGACATTACTTTCTATGAAAAATGTCCTATCTAAGCCAGATGCATGGATCTCTACAGATGGTCTTTTTATAACTTGTTCAGCATCAGATAATATGATGCTAGTGTCCGATTGGTGAACTGCCTCAGAAGTATTAATGTCATGAGAAAAATCTTCATCTCTGAGTTCTGGTGTGAACTGTGGTGCTTCTGATATTTTAAGATTTTCTGCATCAACCGTGGATAAAATGTTTGTACTTGTTTCTGGACCTTTAACTAAATTTTCTTCAGGTGTGGTTTTAATTTGTGTATATGCTTCAAGGTGATGAGGAGGAACCTTATCACTAAACACTGATTCTGACCGTTTAGGGTGCTCAACCGCATCCTTTGATGTAACAGGCATAGGGAATTCTTCCAAAACAGTCAAACAATCGTGGAATTCTTCATCAGATTCTGAATGCGTAGCTTTCGCAGATTCCCCTGTGGTGGCATCTTTTAGAGATATGTCCGATGGTGCATTGTCTTGTTCCTCCAGCACATTAGCAGCTGCATCTCTTGGGGCTACAGTTATTGTCACCGCTCTATCAGATAAAGATATACTCATGTCATTAAAAGGATTAACACGCTCTGACCTCTGAATAATGAAATGATCGGTTGTACTTCTCTTGCTTCCACCAACAGTTATACCTTCGTCAGTAATGTAGTCAGTGACCACATTAACGTCTTGATCAGGACTAGAATGGGCACCAGCATGTAATTCTTCTGTTTGTTTGACTTCTTTTTCCAAATCTCTGGTGTCGCCAGCTTCAACTTGAAACTTAGAATGTGGACTTTCTTTAACTCTGTTGGTTGTCTCCAACTCACCAGTGTTGGCTTCCAAATGTTCTTCACGTGTCAACTGCGTCTCCTCGTTAACTGGCATTCCAGTGAAAATGTCTTTCAACTTTTGTATTGTTCGATTAATAAAAGACGTTTTATTTATATCCACCTCTTGCAGTTGTTCATCCACAAAATCTGTCGGGCACTCTTCGCTGTCAGTGGTTGCGTCCTTACAAGTGTTATGGTGATCAGGAGGACTTTCGGCGGTGACAGTCGATTTTAACAATGTGTCGACTTGCACCGATGCAGCAGTCCGAGTTGTCGCTTCAACATTAGTTCCATCGATTTCGAGTTCATTTAATTTTGCAGGCGGAAAATCAATCGTGTCTGCAGTAGAAGCTGAACTATGGCCCTCTTCAATTGGTGCATCGAATCCCGTTTCAGCCGCGTATGCAGTGTTACCTTCAGAGGAATCGGCGGCTAATTTAGTTTCAATGCGTAGTAAATCTGCATTGACTAAATCACTTTCATCTTTAGTATCCTCTTTAGCTGCTAAAGCAGTTGTGTGTATGGAGGCTTCTTGATGACCAATTCCTGATTTGGCAGTATGGACAAGAATAATGTCTGGTTTAATGGAAGCTTTTGAACGTTTCAGCAATTCTTCACTTGTAATAATTCCTTCTTCACATGCCGTGGAGGCAATGGCTGCAGACAAGGTCTCAATCTCCCGCTCCTCTTCTGTATGTTCCGTGTTGCTCTTGGGATAATAGAGGTGAATTTTATTGAAGGTTGTATGTGGTATTGATGATTGCAATTCTGGTTCATTCTTCATTTCAGCGGATTCTGTTGTCAAGGCTGTGATATTTAGTTCAGTGAGAGGAAGTTCATCAGTTGAGGTAGGCTGGACAAAGGATTCCTCTCTCCAGAATGTAAAATCATCAGCTTCAGCTTTGCTTTTAGAGTCCTCCAATTCTGCTTCAAGTTCCTTAAATGCATGCACCCATGTATCTACACAGGAGGAATCAGAGACAGCTGCTGTACTTGTAGGACTACCCTTGTCACTAGACTCTATGTGTACGTGGGGTTCCATCATTCCAAACTGCTGATGTTGATAAAAATATTGAGTTGATGCTTCGGGATCTTTTCCACTGGCAACTTCATATCCTTCATCAACGAGACAAGCAGCTGAATCTTTTCGAGCTGGTTTTATATACATAATTTCTGTGTCACCGATGTAGACAAATGAAATCTGTGTTTCATCCCCGGTGCAACTAATTAACCGTCTTTTCATCACATCTGCATGGTCTTGTATAGTTTCATCTCCGACTCGGACTTCAGTTGTTTCATCAGTTATGCTCTCACCTGATGGAGCATCTGTCAATGCGAGTTCATTTAGTTCTCCTTGGCCTGTTATTGACGAAATGTCATGTTTATCATTCCTATAGGCTAACTCATCGTTTACATTGATAAATTGTGCCTGGTCAAGCAATTTGTTTAAATCAGTGGTTTCAGTAGCGGCAAAAGACACGTGTTGAGTGATATTCCATGGCAATCCTCGACCTGTCCCATATTCTTCTGCAAATGTGTCAGCAGCATCGGCGGTAATCTTACTCTCCGCCGTATCTTTACCACATGTTGATTCTTTCTCATTTTCTGAAATGGAAACAGATGCATCGCCTGTGTCAGCATGTATTTCTGTTGTTAATTGGGGATTTGAGGTGTCTTCCTGGTCTGACTCAGATTTTCCAGTTAACAAACTTTTAGCTGTCTGTATGATCCTGCCAATGAAAGTTGTTTGCGCATCTCCTTGACTCGTTGACTGATCAGGAGGTAACTGTATTGTTGATTTATCGTGTTCCTGAATTTGATATTGCACGGAAGCAGGTGCAGTATTTGCATAAAACGATTCTTCATCATCATCGTTGCATTCTTTATCAGTGACGATTGAAAGTGTTTCCTGTAATGTATGTTTTTCAGTTACTTTTCCTGAGTCACTTTGTTCTTCTGTTTCACTGAGAAGTTTTGAGGTCTCTTCTTGTGTTAAGGCAAAATTGCTTCCACTGATGAGTTCTTCGGCCTTTTCAATGGCTTCCTCTTGTTTGAAAGGTGGCTCTTTGATACATTCTTCCTCTCTCAGCTCATTTGTCACTTTGGCACAAAATTCTGAACCGTCTCTGTGTTTTGTCGCTCCATCTGAAAATGTTTCCTTGCGGTAAAATTTAAGCGGAGCAGTGACCAATGTTGATGTGGCAGTCGTTAATGAAGGCTCTTTGACTTCTCCTACAGGGTCAACAACCCGATGATCATCTTTGCAAGTGGTAACTTCTTCCCAGTCATGCATTACAGTTTCTGTAATGGGATAAGTGTCATGAGGGGTCTCTTTTGGCCTTAAAGCAAAAGCCATAGTCTCCTCTGTAGATGCCGTGGTTACAATGAATGGCCCTTCTGTTGTGGTTGTTCCAGTTTCCGTCAGTGAGTTTTTAGTGCCCTGCTTCTGGGTGTGTGTGGAGGACGCTTCTGTTGCTTCGTGTGTGACACCTTCCGTGGCAGAGGAAAGATGTGCTAGACAATCCTTCCCACTCGCACTTTGATGCACTTCATTGGTAACCTCCAAACTTTCAACCGAGACACTTTTTCGAGCAGGCCTTATGTAAATTATGTCCACGTCTTCTTTGTTTACGATTGTTATTTGAACTTCGCTCCCTGTTGGACTCAATGTGTTTTTCAAATACGCCATGCATTCCTCAGTGGATGAAGAAGGATTGCTCTGGTTTCTATCAGCTTCAGGCTTTCCTCCTCCAAATGTTGACCCATCGATTGTCTTTTGAGGTTGGTCATGTGCAAGGAATACATTGTCTTCTAGCACATTTGGCTGATCGTGTTTGGGTTGCTCAGACATTGTGCTAAATGTTTGTTGATTTTCAAAAGTTTCAATAGGTGTCTCTATTGGTTGAAGGATTGAGACGTCATATAACGTGGATTTCTGCGAATCACGAGATGTTTCTTCCTCAGAGGTCAATGCATCTGCAGATGACTTACAAATTGTAGAGATGAATGTAACAATGTAAACTTCCTCCTCAATGCACGTGTTGTCAACGTAAACCCTTGTTACCGTCGTGGAGCTTTCTTCAGGATTATCACGTGGGATGTGTGTGGGTAATCCTTGTTCTTTTGTAGGCGTTTCTGTGGCTCTTGGTGCACTTGTGACGTCAAGTGCAGAAGAGGTGCTGATGTTGGTGATGGGCTTTGTAGTTGTGGGCAGAGCTTCATGCATTTTGGTAGATGTTGGTTCTGACTGATGTAATTTAACTTTCAATTCTTCTTCCAGTTTTTCCTCCTTGTCTTTATTCAGTGTAGAAACTGCATCACTTTCTTCTTGGTCATCCATTTCTTTCATTTCTTTATGATGAACCTCCATTGTAAACGTTCTATTCTGAGGGACAAATCCTTTCATGATGTGAGCATCACTGAGAATCTGAGCTGACTGCGCAACGTGAGCTTCACCTTTCAGAACTGGGACACTGCCTGAAGAAGTTGTGGTTACGATAATCGACTCACCTCCCGGGGTTGTAGGTTCTGCGATAACAATTCCAGCTATATCCACTGCGATGCTCTCAGAAACGGTCTTGGCTTCGGGGAATTCTTCGTTATTTTTTTCGACTTCTTGAGATGTCAAAATTGGTGCAGTGTTGATTTCTGAAGTAGGTTTCTCGTTTTCGACTGCTCCTTCCACTTTATCTGCTTGGAAATTTGAAACGGTTGCATCAATAGTTTCAGCACTTTCTTTGCTTAAAAGAACTTCACGATGTATAGTTTCTTGATCACTTTCCGCAGTGACATCAGATGCAGTATCAAATGTGTCGGTCACATCGTCCCCGTCTTCAATTTCTTTTTGGGAGACTGACGCATATTCCTCTCTATTAGTTGGTCCAGCAAACATGTCTTTGGCTCTTTCTATGGCAATGTCAATTAGAGATTTGCTCCTCTCTTTTCGATGTGGTTCTTCGTAGACTCTTTCTCTTGTATTCATCCTATTTTTTTTAGTTTCTGCAGAGACAACCGATTCACAAGAGACGTTTACAAGTTTGGTTGTTTCGTCTACATACATGTCAAAGAGATTGGCATCCATTTCGTCAGTGGCCGCAGGTGAAATAGATTCTCTATCTTCAGCCGCATTTACTTCAAGTGGTGAAATGAGAGTCTGAGCTTCAGTTTCCTCTTTGGCGGTGGTGGTATCGTGCACAGTCTCTTCAGGCCTTGCAACTGGATCAATTTCATTTACCAGTTCAGATGTTAAACACGGGGCTTCACTTATTTTTGTGGCATCAGTATCACTGGCAGTTGCCAAGCAAGGCCCTTTTGTAACCGCGCTTTTATCTAAAGAGATTGTTGTCAAAGTAACTCTCTCTGCATCGCTTGACTTTTTAGTATCAGCAATTACAATACCGAATTCTACCTCTGGAATATTCCAGGAAGTACGCGTAATTTCTGAGCGTTTGTCATCATTTGTTTCTTCGACTGTAGAAGTGTCGCTTGGTATAACGGTACTTTCTGGATGAGTGGTGGTGCTAACTGCATTCATATTCACAGTGGTTACATGACTGGCATGAATCATTTCGTCATCTGCAATCGCATGCACAAGTTGAATAGTTGTTGCATGTACTTCCAAAGTATCATGAGATGTGCCATCAGGTGTATCAACCTTTTTATCTTCAGATGTAATTTGTTTTTGGGAGGTTGCCTCTGTTACGCCACTCTCAGATGGTCCAGTAATTATGCCTTTAGCTTTTTCAATGACAATATCAATAATGGATTTTTTCCTCTCTCTATGAGATGGTTGATCATGCAATCCTTCTGTTGTATCTGAATGAGTATTCCTATTTTCCGCAGATGAAACCAGTGTTCTTGATGTTTCTATTTGCCTGCTTGATTCGTCCGTGCATGCTATGTCAAGATCAGCATGAATTTCTCCGGAGGAAACCAGTAAGATAGATGCCGCTGCCTCATTTACATCATCTGTAATAAGCTCATCATCAACTGCAATTCCTTGCCCTTCAGATTTTAATTTTGAAACAACCACATCTGTTATTACTTTTTCACTTTCTGCAGATGAACCAGATGTAGTTTCAGATGTATCAGTCTCATAATCTTGGACTTCAGTTTCTTCTGGGAAACCTAAGTCCTCTTCGTCACTGTCAGACTTGTCAGTAAACATACCTTTTGCTTTTTCTATGGTAATATCAACAAATGATGTTTTACTCTTTTCATTAAGTTTTTCATCTACAAATTCGGCTGCATCTGCCTCTATTTTCTCAGCCTCAACAGACGCAAGTAATTCTAACGTGGTCTTCTCAACTTTGGTTGCTATGTCTTTGCAAGTTTTATCGAGATCAGAATTACTTTTGTCAGTGGAAGGCGGTAAAAGAGATGCGACTGCTTCAGCCTCGCTCACTTCGGGTGGGCATTTGAGAGTCTCACTTTCTGGTTGGGTCACTCTTTCACTGCGCACTTCCAGATCAGACGTACTACACCTGGAGTCACTTATTTTTGTTGTGTCAGTGTCACTGATGGTATTTTGAGATGTTACTGTGAAAAACTCTTCTTTTTCAACACTAGATTCAACTGAAGAGATTGCATTGAAGGGAACTGATTTGTCAGCGCTCGACTTTTTAACATCGGATTTTATCATGCCAATTTCTACCTCTGGAACAGTCCAAGAAAAATGTGCGATATTGGTGTGTTCTTCATCATTTAATTCTTTAACTGCAGAAGTCTCGCTGAGTACAGGGGTACTTTCTGGACAAGTAGTGGTGCTGACTGCTTTAACATTTGAACACATTACATCACTGGCATGATCGAGTTCCTCATCTGCAGTAACATTCACATGTTGCGTAGTTTTCACATGCAGCTCTAAAGTATGATCAGACGTGGTATCAAGTGTATCAACCTTTTTATCCTTGGATTCAATTTCTTCTTGGGAGACCGATTCAATTACCTCACTTTCAGATGGTCTATGAATTATGTCCTTAGCTTTTTCTATAATAATATCAATTATTGATTTTTTCCTCTTTCTATGATACGGTGCATCATCCAATCCTTCTGTTGTGTCTGGATTAGTATTCTTCTTTTCCACCGAAAAAAGTACTTCTTTCGAATGTATTTTGTGCATGCTCGATTCGTCTGTGCACATCTTGTCAATATCAGCCTGCATTTCATCACTGATAGATGGTAATGTAGATGTGACTTCTTCAGAATGTACAATTGGCTGAGGGACATTGTCTGGATGAGCGGTAAGCATGATATCAACTGAAATTTCTTGCCCATGAGATGTTAATTCTGAAACAACCTCACCATTGATAACAATTTTCTCTTCAACATTACCATGAACATCACGTGTAGTTTCTATGATGCTCTCTGCAGACATACCAGATGTGGTTTCAGATGTATCAGTCTCGTAATGTTGGACTTCAGCTTCTGGGAAAACTGCATCCTCTTCCTCACTGTCAGACTTGTCAGTTAAAATGCCTTGAGCTTTTTCTATCATTATATCAATAACAGATTTTGTCCTCTCCTTTTGAAGTTGTCCCTCCACGAATGGTGTACTATCTGCCTCTGTTTGTTCACTCTCCACAGAAGCAACTGATTCTAACGAGGTATTTTGAAGTTTGTGTGCTCTATCTTTGGAAGTTTTCTCAACAGCAGCATACATATTATCAGTGGAAGGTGGTAAAAGAGATGTGACCACTTCAACCTCATTTATTTCAGGGGGAGATTTTGGAGTATCACTTTCTGGTTGGGTTAATCTTTCATCGCACACTTCCAGAGCAGACGTTACATGCTGGGGTTCATTTGTTTTTGTGGTGTCAGTGTCAAGGACGGTCTTTTCAGATGTTGCAATGGTAGGAACTTCTTTTGTTTCAGTCGGTTTATCTGAAGAGGTTATACTCAAGGTAAATGAATCTCCAGTGAGTGACTTTTTACTGTCTAGCATAATCAAAGCACCGTGCTCAATGTCAGAGGATTCTGCATCATTTATTTTTTCATCTGCAGAAAGCACATTCAGTTCAAGTGTGACTTTTCTAACATCAGTCGTTTGGATGCCTGCAGATTTTTCAAGAGGTTTAATAATATTGATACGTACGGAAAAAGCAATTGCTTCAGGTTCTTGAGTGTTTTCCTTGCTTTCACCAATCTCTTCCACTCGTTGCTTATCTTGAGCACTTGCTACAATGATCTTAGTTGTCTCACCTTTGTCACCTTGTGCATCCTTTGTTTCTTCACTTAATGGACGCTTTGCACTCGCAGTGTCAGATGGTGCAATTACAACGTCACTTTCCTTTTGTTGATCTTTTTCAGTTATTGCCTCTATCGTCTCAATGTCACCGGATAGTGTGATGACATCAGTTGATTTGGTAACAGCTTTGTCTTTGATTTTTACGGTTTTGTCACCAGTTTCTTCCAGACTTTTTAAAACCGCTTCACCTTCTGAACTAGTGCTCAATTTTGCTTCTTTGATCTCTTCTTCTGATACAACTGTAAGGTCGTTAATCGTCGTCAATATGTCTTGTTTGTCTCCAGATGATTGAGGTTGAACATCGAATTCTTTTTTCAAATCATCAAAATCTTTTGATGAATCTGCAGCCAATTTATTTTCTTCAGAATGTGATGTGTCTGACGCATCTGTTGCTAACATTTCCGTATTCGACAACTTGATGCTGATTTCTACATCATGAATGACTTCAGGAATGCTTGTGATCAGCAAAGCTTCTTTGGAGCTAGTTTTCAAACATTCTGGAGTCTCTGTTGGTTCACAAATGTTTTCTTGTTTTTGAGCAGTTTGGACACTTGCTGACATTTCATATTCAGTGCCAATAATTTTCTCGGTTGTAACAAGTGCATCTGTGACTTGTTTTTCTACTGTGCTTTCTATTTCTTTTACATGTGCTGTAGTTTCTTTATCACCTTCTTTAGTGGCTTTGATTGAGTCGACCTCATTGGATTGAGAATCAGTATCTGCTGGGATTGATCTGTCAGTCTCTACATTTTCAGACTTTGAGCTGAAAAATTCTTTCGTCTTCTTTTTTAATCTCTGAAAGAGTGGTTTTCCCACATCTTGACTGGTTGCTTCATCAAATGTATCACCTGGTGGTGCACGCTTCGGTTTGTCCTGCGTGTGTCCATTTAAATCTGTTGGTTGGTCAATTTTAATTGGAACATCTGTGCATAATTCATCTTGACCAGACTGAAGTTCCACAGGGACAGGTGGAGAAATCGAGGCCACCACTTCAGTCACATTCATTTCTAGTGTGGATTGGTCAGGCGGTACTTCTTGTGTAGTTTCTTTATTCTGGAATTTCTCTGTACATACTGTTGGTAGAGGTGCATTTTCTTTCCCAGTGGCGGTTTCATCATCAAGAGTTTCTTCAGGGATTTCAGCAGTAGGTTCTATTACAATAGCAGTTTTGTCTTGTGAAGTTGTGGTCACAGAATCTGATAGAATGCTTGGGTACTTTTCATTCTCTAACCCTACACGACCAGTTTCTCCTTTTGGGATGATCCTATCTGGTTGCTTGGCTTCAGAATCAAGTTCATTATCGATCTCCTGTTGTGCATGAGCTTCAGTTTGTACGGTTATGACTTCTGGAGTAGTTGAAGGTTGGATGTATGTTGAGATTTCTAGCTCTTCAGCTGTGTCTTTCGTTACTGTTAATCCAGATTGATCTGGTTCTTTAATTGTTTCCTTGCTTTCTCCGATCTCCTCCGCTCGTTGCATGTCTTGAGCACTTGCTGCAACGATCTTAATTGTCTCAACTTTGTCACCTTTTGCATCCTTTGTTTCTTCACTTAATGGACGCTTTGCACTCGCAGTGTCAGATGGTGCAACTACAACGTCACTTTCCTTTTGTTGATCTTTTTCAGTTATTGCTTCTATCGTCTCAATGTCACCGGATAGTGTCATGACATCAGTCGATTTGGTAACCGCTTTGCCTTTGATTTTTACCGTTTTGTCACCAGTTTCTTCCAGACTTTTTAAAACCGCTTCACCTTCTGAACTAGTGCTCAATTTTGCTTCTTTGATCTCTTCTTCTGATACAACTGTAAGGTCGTTAATCGTCGTCATTATGTCTTGTTTGTCTCCAGATGATTGAGGTTGAACATCGAATTCTTTTTTCAAATCATCAAAATCCTTTGATGAATCTGCAGCCAATTTATTTTCTTCAGAATGTGATGTGTCTGACGCATCTGTTGCTAACATTTCCGTATTCGACAACTTGATGCTGATTTCTACATCATGAATGACTTCAGGAATGCTTGTGATCAGCAAATCTTCTTTGGAGCTAGTTTTCAAACATTCTGGAGTCTCTGTTGGCTCAAAAATGTTTTCTTGTTTTTGAGCAGTTTGGACACTTGCTGACATTTCATATTCAGTGCCAATAATTGTCTCGGTTGTAACAAGTGCATCTGTGACTTGTTTTTCTACTGTGCTGTCTATTTCTTTTACATGTGCTGTAGTTTCCTTATCACCTTCTTTAGTGGCTTTGATTGAGTCGACCTCATTGGATTGAGAATCAGTATCTGCTGGGATTGATCTGTCAGTCTCTACATTTTCAGACTTTGAGCTGAAAAATTCTTTCGTCTTCTCTTTTAATCTCTGAAAGAGTGGTTTTCCCACATCTTGACTGGTTGCTTCATCAAATGTATCGCCTGGTGGTGCACGCTTCGGTTTGTCCTGCGTGTGTCCATTTAAATCTGTTGGTTGGTGAATTTTAATTGGAACATCTGTGCATAATTCATCTTGACCAGACTGAAGTTCCACAGGGACAGGTGGAGAAATCGAGGCCACCACTTCAGTCACATTCATTTCTAGTGTGATTTGGTCAGGCGGTACTTCTTGTGTAGTTTCTTTATTCTGGAATTCCTCTGTACATACTGTTGGTAGAGGTGCACTTTCTTTCCCAGTGGCGGTTTCATCATCAAGAGTTTCTTCAGGGATTTCAGCAGTAGGTTCTATTACAATAGCAGTTTTGTCTTGTGAAGTTGTGGTCACAGAATCTGATAGAATGCTTGGGTACTTTTCAATCTCTAACCCTACACGACCAGTTTCTCCTTTTGGGATGATCCTATCTGGTTGCTTGGCTTCAGAATCAAGTTCATTATCGATCTCCTGTTGTGCATGAGCTTCAGTTTGTACGGTTATGACTTCTGGAGTAGTTGAAGGTTGGATGTATGTTGAGATTTCTAGCTCTTCAGCTGTGTCTTTCGTTACTGTTAATCCAGATTGATCTGGTTCTTTAATTGTTTCCTTGCTTTCTCCGAACTCATCCGCTCGTTGCATGTCTTGAGCACTTGCTGCAACGATCTTAATTGTCTCAACTTTGTCACCTTTTGCATCCTTTGTTTCTTCACTTAATGGACGCTTTGCACTCGCAGTGTCAGATGGTGCAACTACAACGTCACTTTCCTTTTGTTGATCTTTTTCAGTTATTGCTTCTATCGTCTCAATGTCACCGGATAGTGTCATGACATCAGTCGATTTGGTAACCGCTTTGCCTTTGATTTTTACCGTTTTGTCACCAGTTTCTTCCAGACTTTTTAAAACCGCTTCACCTTCTGAACTAGTGCTCAATTTTGCTTCTTTGATCTCTTCTTCTGATACAACTGTAAGGTCGTTAATCGTCGTCATTATGTCTTGTTTGTCTCCAGATGATTGAGGTTGAACATCGAATTCTTTTTTCAAATCATCAATATCCTTTGATGAATCTGCAGCCAATTTATTTTCTTCAGAATGTGATGTGTCTGACGCATCTGTTGCTAACATTTCCGTATTCGACAACTTGATGCTGATTTCTACATCATGAATGACTTCAGGAATGCTTGTGATCAGCAAATCTTCTTTGGAGCTAGTTTTCAAACATTCTGGAGTCTCTGTTGGCTCACAAATGTTTTCTTGTTTTTGAGCAGTTTGGACACTTGCTGACATTTCATATTCAGTGCCAATAATTGTCTCGGTTGTAACAAGTGCATCTGTGACTTGTTTTTCTACTGTGCTGTCTATTTCTTTTACATGTGCTGTAGTTTCCTTATCACCTTCTTTAGTGGCTTTGATTGAGTCGACCTCATTGGATTGAGAATCAGTATCTGCTGGGATTGATCTGTCAGTCTCTACATTTTCAGACTTTGAGCTGAAAAATTCTTTCGTCTTCTCTTTTAATCTCTGAAAGAGTGGTTTTCCCACATCTTGACTGGTTGCTTCATCAAATGTATCGCCTGGTGGTGCACGCTTCGGTTTGTCCTGCGTGTGTCCATTTAAATCTGTTGGTTGGTGAATTTTAATTGGAACATCTGTGCATAATTCATCTTGACCAGACTGAAGTTCCACAGGGACAGGTGGAGAAATCGAGGCCACCACTTCAGTCACATTCATTTCTAGTGTGATTTGGTCAGGCGGTACTTCTTGTGTAGTTTCTTTATTCTGGAATTCCTCTGTACATACTGTTGGTAGAGGTGCACTTTCTTTCCCAGTGGCGGTTTCATCATCAAGAGTTTCTTCAGGGATTTCAGCAGTAGTTTCTATTACAATAGCAGTTTTATCTTGTGAAGTTGTGGTCACAGAATCTGATAGAATGCTTGGGTACTTTTCATTCTCTAACCCTACATGACCAGTTTCTCCTTTTGGGATGATCCTATCTAGTTGCTTGGCTTCAGAATCAAGTTCATTATCGATCTCCTGTTGTGCATGAGCTTCAGTTTGTACGGTTATGACTTCTGGAGTAGTTGAAGGTTGGATGTATGTTGAGATTTCTAGCTCTTCAGCTGTGTCTTTCGTTACTGTTAATCCAGCTCCATCTGGTTCCTTAATTGTTTCCTTGCTTTCTCCGATCTCCTCCACTCGTTGCATGTCTTGAGCACTTGCTGCAACGATCTTAATTGTCTCAGCTTTGTCACCTTGTGCATCCTTTGTTTCTTCACTTAATGGACGCTTTGCACTCGCAGTGTCGGATGGTGCAATTACAAAGTCACTTTCCTTTTGTTGATCTTTTTCAGTTATTGCTTCTATCGTCTCAATGTCACCGGATAGTGTGATGACATCAGTCGATTTGGTATCAGCTTTGCCTTTGATTTTTACCGTTTTGTCACCAGTTTCTTCCAGACTTTTTAAAACCGCTTCACCTTCTGAACTAGTGCTCAATTTTGCTTCTTTGATCTCTTCTTCTGATACAACTGTAAGGTCGTTAATCGTCGTCAATATGTCTTGTTTGTCTCCAGATGATTGAGTTTGAACATCGAATTCTTTTTTCAAATCATCAATATCCTTTGGTGAATCTGCAGCCAATTTATTTTCTTCAGAATGTGATGTGTCTGACGCATCTGTTGCTAACATTTCCGTATTCGACAACTTGATGCTGATTTCTACATCATGAATGACTTCAGGAATGCTTGTGATCAGCAAAGCTTCTTTGGAACTAGTTTTCAAACATTCTGGAGTCTCTGTTGGTTCACAAATGTTTTCTTGTTTTTGAGCAGTTTGGACACTTGCTGACATTTCAGATTCAGTGCCAATAATTGTCTCGGTTGTAACAAGTGCATCTGTGACTTGTTTTTCTATTGCGCTTTCTATATCTTTTACAGGTGCTGTAGTTTTCTTATCACCTTCTTTAGTGGCTTTGATTGAGTCGACCTCATTGGATTGAGAATCAGTATCTGCTGGGATTGATCTGTCAGTCTCTACATTTTCAGACTTTGTTGTTGAAGGTTGGATGTATGTTGAGATTTCTAGCTCTTCAACTGTGTCTTTCGTTATTGTTAATCCAGCTTCATCTGGTTCTTTAATTGTTTGCTTACTTTCTCCGATCTCCTCCACTCGTTGCATGTCTTGAGCACTTGCTGCAATGATCTTAGTTGTCTCAGCTTTGTCACCTTGTGCATCCTTTGTTTCTTCACTTAATGGACGCTTTGCACTCGCAGTGTCGGATGGTGCAATTACAACGTCACTTTCCTTTTGTTGATCTTTTTCAGTTATTGCTTCTATCGTCTCACTGTCACCGGATAGCGTGATGACATCAGTCGATTTGGTAACAGCTTTGTCTTTGATTTTTACCGTTTTGTCACCAGTTTCTTCCAGCCTTTTTAAAACCGCTTCACCTTCTAAACTAGTGCTCAATTTTGCTTCTTTGATCTCTTCTTCTGATACCACTGTAAGGTCGTTAATCGTCGTCAATATGTCTTGTTTGTCTCCAGATGATGAAGGTTGAACATCGAATTCTTTTGTCAAATCATCAATATCCTTTGATGAATCTGCAGCCAATTTATTTTCGTCAGAATGTGATGTGTCTGACGCATCTGTTGCTGACATTTCCGTATTCCACAACTTGATGCTGATTTCGACATCATGACTGACTACTGGAATGCTTGTGATCAGCAAAGCTTCTTTGGAACTAGTTTTCAAACATTCTGGAGTCTCTGTTGGTTCACAAATGTTTTCTTGTTTTTGAGCAGTTTGGACACTTGCTGACATTTCAGATTCAGTGCCAATAATTGTCTTGGTTGTAACAAGTGCATCTGTGACTTGTTTTTCTACTGTGGTTTCTATATCTTTTACATGTGCTGTAGTTTCCTTATCACCTTCTTTAGTGGCTTTGATTGAGCCGACCGCATTGGATTTAGAATCAGTGTCTGCTGGGATTGATCTGTCAGTCTCTACATTTTCAGACTTTGAGCTGAAAAATTCTTTCGTCTTATCTTTTAATCTCTGAAAGAGTGGTTTTCCCACATCTTGACTGGTTGCTTCATCAAATGTATCACCTGGTGGTGCACGCTTCGGTTTGTCTTGCGTGTGTCCATTTAAATCTGTTGGTTGGTCAATTTTAATTGGAACATCTGTGCATAATTCATCATGACCAGACTGAAGATCCACAGGGACAGGTGGAGAAATCGAGGCCACCACTTCAGTCACATTCATTTCTAGTGTGGATTGGATAGGCGGTACTTCTTGTGTAGTTTCTTTATTCTGGAATTCCTCTGTACATACTGTTGGTAGAGGTGCACTTTCTTTCCCAGTGGCGGTTTCATCATCAAGAGTTTCTTCAGGGATTTCAGCAGTAGGTTCTATTACAATAGCAGTTTTGTCTTGTGAAGTTGTGGTCACAGAATCTGATAGAATGCTTGGGTACTTTTCATTCTCTAACCCTACACGACCAGTTTCTCCTTTTGGGATGATCCTATCTGGTTGCTTTGCTTCAGAATCAAGTTCATTATCGATCGCCTGTTGTGCATGAGCTTCAGTTTGTACGGTTATGACTTCTGGAGTAGTTGAAGGTTGGATGTATGTTGAGATTTCTAGCTCTTCAGCTGTGTCTTTCGTTACTGTTAATCCAGCTTCATCTGGTTCTATAATTGTTTCCTTGCTTTCTCCGATCTCCTCCACTCGTTGCATGTCTTGAGCACTTGCTGCAACGATCTTAATTGTCTCAGCTTTGTCACCTTGTGCATCCTTTGTTGCTTCACTTAATGGTCGCTTTGCTCTCACAGTGTCGGATGGTGCAATTACAACGTCACTTTCCTTTTGTTGATCTTTTTCAGTTATTGCTTCTATCGTCTCAATGTCACCGGATAGTGTGATGAGATCAGTCGATTTGGTAACAGCTTTGCCTTTGATTTTTACCGTTTTGTCACCAGTTTCTTCCAGACTTTTTAAAACCGCTTCACCTTCTAAACTAGTGCTCAATTTTGTTTCTTTGATCTCTTCTTCTGATACCACTGTAAGGTCGTTAATCGTCGTCAATATGTCTTGTTTGTCTCCAGATGATTGAGTTTGAACATCGAATTCTTTTTTCAAATCATCAATATCCTTTGATGAATCTGCACCCAATTTATTTTCTTCAGAATGTGATGTGTCTGACGCATCTGTTGCTAACATGTCCGTATTCGACAACTTTATGCTGATTTCTACATCATGACTGACTTCAGGAATGCTTGTGATCAGCAAAGCTTCTTTGGAACTAGTTTTCAAACATTCTGGAGTCTCTGTTGGTTCACAAATGTTTTCTTGTTTTTGAGCAGTTTGGACACTTGCTGACATTTCAGATTCAGTGCCAATAATTGTCTCGGTTGTAACAAGTGCATCTGTGACTTGTTTTTCTACTGTGGTTTCTATGTCTTTTACATGTGCTGTAGTTTCCTTATCACCTTCTTTAGTGGCTTTGATTGAGCCGACCGCATTGGATTTAGAATCAGTGTCTGCTGGGATTGATCTGTCAGTCTCTACATTTTCAGACTTTGAGCTGAAAAATTCTTTCGTCTTCTCTTTTAATCTCTGAAAGAGTGGTTTTCCTACATCTTGACTGGTTGCTTCATCAAATGTATCACCTGGTGGTGCACGCTTCGGTTTGTCTTGCGTGTGTCCATTTAAATCTGTTGGTTGGTCAATTTTAATTGGAACATCTGTGCATAATTCATCATGACCAGATTGAAGATCCACAGGGACAGGTGGAGAAATCGAGGCCACCACTTCAGTCACATTCATTTCTAGTGTGGATTGGTCAGGCGGTACTTCTTGTGTAGTTTCTTTATTCTGGAATTCCTCTGTACATACTGTTGGTAGAGGTGCACTTTCTTTCCCAGTGGCGGTTTCATCATCAAGAGTTTCTTCAGGGATTTCAGCAGTAGGTTCTATTACAATAGCAGTTATGTCTCGTGAAGTTGTGGTCACAGAATCTGATAGAATGCTTGGGTACTTTTCATTCTCTAACCCTACACGACCAGTTTCTCCTTTTGGGATGATCCTATCTGGTTGCTTTGCTTCAGAATCAAGTTCATTATCGATCGCCTGTTGTGCATGAGCTTCAGTTTGTACGGTTATGACTTCTGGAGTAGTTGAAGGTTGGATGTATGTTGAGATTTCTAGCTCTTCAGCTGTGTCTTTCGTTACTGTTAATCCAGCTTCATCTGGTTCTTTAATTGTTTCCTTGCTTTCTCCGATCTCCTCCACTCGTTGCATGTCTTGAGCACTTGCTGCAACGATCTTAATTGTCTCAGCTTTGTCACCTTGTGCATCCTTTGTTTCTTCACTTAATGGTCGCTTTGCTCTCGCAGTGTCGGATGGTGCAATTACAACGTCACTTTCCTTTTGTTGATCTTTTTCAGTTATTGCTTCTATCGTCTCAATGTCACCGGATAGTGTGATGACATCAGTCGATTTGGTAACAGCTTTGCCTTTGATTTTTACCGTTTTGTCACCAGTTTCTTCCAGACTTTTTAAAACCGCTTCACCTTCTAAACTAGTGCTCAATTTTGCTTCTTTGATCTCTTCTTCTGATACCACTGTAAGGTCGTTAATCGTCGTCAATATGTCTTGTTTGTCTCCAGATGATTGAGTTTGAACATCGAATTCTTTTTTCAAATCATCAATATCCTTTGATGAATCTGCACCCAATTTATTTTCTTCAGAATGTGATGTGTCTGACGCATCTGTTGCTAACATGTCCGTATTCGACAACTTGATGCTGATTTCTACATCATGACTGACTTCAGGAATGCTTGTGATCAGCAAAGCTTCTTTGGAACTAGTTTTCAAACATTCTGGAGTCTCTGTTGGTTCACAAATGTTTTCTTGTTTTTGAGCAGTTTGGACACTTGCTGACATTTCAGATTCAGTGCCAATAATTGTCTCGGTTGTAACAAGTGCATCTGTGACTTGTTTTTCTACTGCGCTTTCTATATCTTTTACAGGTGCTGTAGTTTCCTTATCACCTTCTTTAGTGGCTTTGATTGAGTCGACCTCTTTGGATTGAGAATCAGTATCTGCTGGGATTGATCTGTCAGTCTCTACATTTTCAGACTTTGTTGTTGAAGGTTGGATGTATGTTGAGATTTCTAGCTCTTCAACTGTGTCTTTCGTTACTGTTAATCCAGCTTCATCTGGTTCTTTAATTTTTTCCTTACTTTCTCCGATCTCCTCCACTCGTTGCATGTCTTGAGCACTTGCTGCAATAATCTTAGTTGTCTCAGCTTTGTCACCTTGTGCATCCTTTGTTTCTTCACTTAATGGACGCTTTGCACTCGCAGTGTCGGATGGTGCAATTACAACGTCACTTTCCTTTTGTTGATCTTTTTCAGTTATTGCTTCTATCGTCTCACTGTCACCGGATAGCGTGATGACATCAGTCGATTTGGTAACAGCTTTGTCTTTGATTTTTACCGTTTTGTCACCAGTTTCTTCCAGCCTTTTTAAAACCGCTTCACCTTCTAAACTAGTGCTCAATTTTGCTTCTTTGATCTCTTCTTCTGATACCACTGTAAGGTCGTTAATCGTCGTCAATATGTCTTGTTTGTCTCCAGATGATGAAGGTTGAACATCGAATTCTTTTGTCAAATCATCAATATCCTTTGATGAATCTGCAGCCAATTTATTTTCGTCAGAATGTGATGTGTCTGACGCATCTGTTGCTAACATTTCCGTATTCGACAACTTGATGCTGATTTCGACATCATGACTGACTACTGGAATGCTTGTGATCAGCAAAGCTTCTTTGGAACTAGTTTTCAAACATTCTGGAGTCTCTGTTGGTTCACAAATGTTTTCTTGTTTTTGAGCAGTTTGGACACTTGCTGACATTTCAGATTCAGTGCCAATAATTGTCTTGGTTGTAACAAGTGCATCTGTGACTTGTTTTTCTACTGTGGTTTCTATATCTTTTACATGTGCTGTAGTTTCCTTATCACCTTCTTTAGTGGCTTTGATTGAGCCGACCGCATTGGATTTAGAATCAGTGTCTGCTGGGATTGATCTGTCAGTCTCTACATTTTCAGACTTTGAGCTGAAAAATTCTTTCGTCTTCTCTTTTAATCTCTGAAAGAGTGGTTTTCCCACATCTTGACTGGTTGCTTCATCAAATGTATCACCTGGTGGTGCACGCTTCGGTTTGTCTTGCGTGTGTCCATTTAAATCTGTTGGTTGGTCAATTTTAATTGGAACATCTGTGCATAATTCATCATGACCAGACTGACGATCCACAGGGACAGGTGGAGAAATCGAGGCCACCACTTCAGTCACATTCATTTCTGGTGTGGATTGGTCAGGCGGTACTTCTTGTGTAGTTTCTTTATTCTGGAATTCCTCTGTACATACTGTTGGTAGAGGTGCACTTTCTTTCCCAGTGGCGGTTTCATCATCAAGAGTTTCTTCAGGGATTTCAGCAGTAGGTTCTATTACAATAGCAGTTTTGTCTTGTGAAGTTGTGGTCACAGAATCTGATAGAATGCTTGGGTACTTTTCATTCTCTAACCCTACACGACCAGTTTCTCCTTTTGGGATGCTATCTGGTTGCTTTGCTTCAGAATCAAGTTCATTATCGATCGCCTGTTGTGCATGAGCTTCAGTTTGTACGGTTATGACTTCTGGAGTAGTTGAAGGTTGGATGTATGTTGAGATTTCTAGCTCTTCAGCTGTGTCTTTCGTTACTGTTAATCCAGCTTCATCTGGATCTTTAATTGTTTCCTTGCTTTCTCCGATCTCCTCCACTCGTTGCATGTCTTGAGCACTTGCTGCAACGATCTTAATTGTCTCAGCTTTGTCACCTTGTGCATCCTTTGTTTTTTCACTTAATGGTCGCTTTGCTCTCGCAGTGTCGGATGGTGCAATTACAACGTCACTTTCCTTTTGTTGATCTTTTTCAGTTATAGCTTCTATCGTCTCAATGTCACCGGATAGTGTGATGACATCAGTCGATTTGGTAACAGCTTTGCCTTTGATTTTTTCCGTTTTGTCACCAGTTTCTTCCAGACTTTTTAAAACCGCTTCACCTTCTAAACTAGTGCTCAATTTTGCTTCTTTGATCTCTTCTTCTGATACCACTGTAAGGTCGTTAATCGTCGTCAATATGTCTTGTTTGTTTCCAGATGATTGAGTTTGAACATCGAATTCTTTTTTCAAATCATCAATATCCTTTGATGAATCTGCACCCAATTTATTTTCTTCAGAATGTGATGTGTCTGACGCATCTGTTGCTAACATGTCCGTATTCGACAACTTTATGCTGATTTCTACATCATGACTGACTTCAGGAATGCTTGTGATCAGCAAAGCTTCTTTGGAACTAGTTTTCAAACATTCTGGAGTCTCTGTTGGTTCACAAATGTTTTCTTGTTTTTGAGCAGTTTGGACACTTGCTGACATTTCAGATTCAGTGCCAATAATTGTCTTGGTTGTAACAAGTGCATCTGTGACTTGTTTTTCTACTGCGCTTTCTATATCTTTTACAGGTGCTGTAGTTTCCTTATCACCTTCTTTAGTGGCTTTGATTGAGTCGACCTCATTGGATTGAGAATCAGTATCTGCTGGGATTGATCTGTCAGTCTCTACATTTTCAGACTTTGTTGTTGAAGGTTGGATGTATGTTGAGATTTCTAGCTCTTCAACTGTGTCTTTCGTTACTGTTAATCCAGCTTCATCTGGTTCTTTAATTGTTTCCTTGCTTTCTCCGATCTCCTCCACTCGTTGCATGTCTTGAGCACTTGCTGCAACGATCTTAATTGTCTCAGCTTTGTCACCTTGTGCATCCTTTGTTTCTTCACTTAATGGTCGCTTTGCTCTCGCAGTGTCGGATGGTGCAATTACAACGTCACTTTTCCTTTTGTTGATCTTTTTCAGTTATTGCTTCTATCGTCTCAATGTCACCGGATAGTGTGATGACATCAGTCGATTTGGTAACAGCTTTGTCTTTGATTTTTACCGTTTTGTCACCAGTTTCTTCCAGCCTTTTTAAAACCGCTTCACCTTCTAAACTAGTGCTCAATTTTGCTTCTTTGATCTCTTCTTCTGATACCACGGTAAGGTCGTTAATCGTCGTCAATATGTCTTGTTTGTCTCCAGATGATGAAGGTTGAACATCGAATTCTTTTGTCAAATCATCAATATCCTTTGATGAATCTGCAGCCAATTTATTTTCGTCAGAATGTGATGTGTCTGACGCATCTGTTGCTAACATTTCCGTATTCGACAACTTGATGCTGATTTCGACATCATGACTGACTACTGGAATGCTTGTGATCAGCAAAGCTTCTTTGGAACTAGTTTTCAAACATTCTGGAGTCTCTGTTGGTTCACAAATGTTTTCTTGTTTTTGAGCAGTTTGGACACTTGCTGACATTTCAGATTCAGTGCCAATAATTGTCTTGGTTGTAACAAGTGCATCTGTGACTTGTTTTTCTACTGTGGTTTCTATATCTTTTACATGTGCTGTAGTTTCCTTATCACCTTCTTTAGTGGCTTTGATTGAGCCGACCGCATTGGATTTAGAATCAGTGTCTGCTGGGATTGATCTGTCAGTCTCTACATTTTCAGACTTTGAGCTGAAAAATTCTTTCGTCTTCTCTTTTAATCTCTGAAAGAGTGGTTTTCCCACATCTTGACTGGTTGCTTCATCAAATGTATCACCTGGTGGTGCACGCTTCGGTTTGTCTTGCGTGTGTCCATTTAAATCTGTTGGTTGGTCAATTTTAATTGGAACATCTGTGCATAATTCATCATGACCAGACTGACGATCCACAGGGACAGGTGGAGAAATCGAGGCCACCACTTCAGTCACATTCATTTCTGGTGTGGATTGGTCAGGCGGTACTTCTTGTGTAGTTTCTTTATTCTGGAATTCCTCTGTACATACTGTTGGTAGAGGTGCACTTTCTTTCCCAGTGGCGGTTTCATCATCAAGAGTTTCTTCAGGGATTTCAGCAGTAGGTTCTATTACAATAGCAGTTTTGTCTTGTGAAGTTGTGGTCACAGAATCTGATAGAATGCTTGGGTACTTTTCATTCTCTAACCCTACACGACCAGTTTCTCCTTTTGGGATGCTATCTGGTTGCTTTGCTTCAGAATCAAGTTCATTATCGATCGCCTGTTGTGCATGAGCTTCAGTTTGTACGGTTATGACTTCTGGAGTAGTTGAAGGTTGGATGTATGTTGAGATTTCTAGCTCTTCAGCTGTGTCTTTCGTTACTGTTAATCCAGCTTCATCTGGATCTTTAATTGTTTCCTTGCTTTCTCCGATCTCCTCCACTCGTTGCATGTCTTGAGCACTTTCTGCAACGATCTTAATTGTCTCAGCTTTGTCACCTTGTGCATCCTTTGTTTCTTCACTTAATGGTCGCTTTGCTCTCGCAGTGTCGGATGGTGCAATTACAACGTCACTTTCCTTTTGTTGATCTTTTTCAGTTATTGCTTCTATCGTCTCAATGTCACCGGATAGTGTGATGACATCAGTCGATTTGGTAACAGCTTTGCCTTTGATTTTTACCGTTTTGTCACCAGTTTCTTCCAGACTTTTTAAAACCGCTTCACCTTCTAAACTAGTGCTCAATTTTGCTTCTTTGATCTCTTCTTCTGATACCACTGTAAGGTCGTTAATCGTCGTCAATATGTCTTGTTTGTCTCCAGATGATTGAGTTTGAACATCGAATTCTTTTTTCAAATCATCAATATCCTTTGATGAATCTGCACCCAATTTATTTTCTTGAGAATGTGATGTGTCTGACGCATCTGTTGCTAACATGTCCGTATTCGACAACTTTATGCTGATTTCTACATCATGACTGACTTCAGGAATGCTTGTGATCAGCAAAGCTTCTTTGGAACTAGTTTTCAAACATTCTGGAGTCTCTGTTGGTTCACAAATGTTTTCTTGTTTTTGAGCAGTTTGGACACTTGCTGACATTTCAGATTCAGTGCCAATAATTGTCTTGGTTGTAACAAGTGCATCTGTGACTTGTTTTTCTACTGCGCTTTCTATATCTTTTACAGGTGCTGTAGTTTCCTTATCACCTTCTTTACTGGCTTTGATTGAGTCGACCTCATTGGATTGAGAATCAGTATCTGCTGGGATTGATCTGTCAGTCTCTACATTTTCAGACTTTGTTGTTGAAGGTTGGATGTATGTTGAGATTTCTAGCTCTTCAACTGTGTCTTTCGTTACTGTTAATCCAGCTTCATCTGGTTCTTTAATTGTTTCCTTGCTTTCTCCGATCTCCTCCACTCGTTGCATGTCTTGAGCACTTGCTGCAACGATCTTAATTGTCTCAGCTTTGTCACCTTGTGCATCCTTTGTTTCTTCACTTAATGGTCGCTTTGCTCTCGCAGTGTCGGATGGTGCAATTACAACGTCATTTTCCTTTTGTTGATCTTTTTCAGTTATTGCTTCTATCGTCTCAATGTCACCGGATAGTGTGATGACATCAGTCGATTTGGTAACAGCTTTGCCTTTGATTTTTACCGTTTTGTCACCAGTTTCTTCCAGACTTTTTAAAACCGCTTCACCTTCTAAACTAGTGCTCAATTTTGCTTCTTTGATCTCTTCTTCTGATACCACTGTAAGGTCGTTAATCGTCGTCAATATGTCTTGTTTGTCTCCAGATGATTGAGTTTGAACATCGAATTCTTTTTTCAAATCATCAATATCCTTTGATGAATCTGCACCCAATTTATTTTCTTCAGAATGTGATGTGTCTGACGCATCTGTTGCTAACATGTCCGTATTCGACAACTTTATGCTGATTTCTACATCATGACTGACTTCAGGAATGCTTGTGATCAGCAAAGCTTCTTTGGAACTAGTTTTCAAACATTCTGGAGTCTCTGTTGGTTCACAAATGTTTTCTTGTTTTTGAGCAGTTTGGACACTTGCTGACATTTCAGATTCAGTGCCAATAATTGTCTCGGTTGTAACAAGTGCATCTGTGACTTGTTTTTCTACTGCGCTTTCTATATCTTTTACAGGTGCTGTAGTTTCCTTATCACCTTCTTTAGTGGCTTTGATTGAGTCGACCTCATTGGATTGAGAATCAGTATCTGCTGGGATTGATCTGTCAGTCTCTACATTTTCAGACTTTGTTGTTGAAGGTTGGATGTATGTTGAGATTTCTAGCTCTTCAACTGTGTCTTTCGTTACTGTTAATCCAGCTTCATCTGGTTCTTTAATTGTTTCCTTACTTTCTCCGATCTCCTCCACTCGTTGCATGTCTTGAGCACTTGCTGCAATGATCTTAGTTGTCTCAGCTTTGTCACCTTGTGCATCCTTTGTTTCTTCACTTAATGGACGCTTTGCACTCGCAGTGTCGGATGGTGCAATTACAACGTCACTTTCCTTTTGTTGATCTTTTTCAGTTATTGCTTCTATCGTCTCACTGTCACCGGATAGCGTGATGACATCAGTCGATTTGGTAACAGCTTTGTCTTTGATTTTTACCGTTTTGTCACCAGTTTCTTCCAGCCTTTTTAAAACCGCTTCACCTTCTAAACTAGTGCTCAATTTTGCTTCTTTGATCTCTTCTTCTGATACCACGGTAAGGTCGTTAATCGTCGTCAATATGTCTTGTTTGTCTCCAGATGATGAAGGTTGAACATCGAATTCTTTTGTCAAATCATCAATATGCTTTGATGAATCTGCAGCCAATTTATTTTCGTCAGAATGTGATGTGTCTGACGCATCTGTTGCTAACTTTTCCGTATTCGACAACTTGATGCTGATTTCGACATCATGACTGACTACTGGAATGCTTGTGATCAGCAAAGCTTCTTTGGAACTAGTTTTCAAACATTCTGGAGTCTCTGTTGGTTCACAAATGTTTTCTTGTTTTTGAGCAGTTTGGACACTTGCTGACATTTCAGATTCAGTGCCAATAATTGTCTTGGTTGTAACAAGTGCATCTGTGACTTGTTTTTCTACTGTGGTTTCTATATCTTTTACATGTGCTGTAGTTTCCTTATCACCTTCTTTAGTGGCTTTGATTGAGCCGACCGCATTGGATTTAGAATCAGTGTCTGCTGGGATTGATCTGTCAGTCTCTACATTTTCAGACTTTGAGCTGAAAAATTCTTTCGTCTTCTCTTTTAATCTCTGAAAGAGTGGTTTTCCCACATCTTGACTGGTTGCTTCATCAAATGTATCACCTGGTGGTGCACGCTTCGGTTTGTCTTGCGTGTGTCCATTTAAATCTGTTGGTTGGTCAATTTTAATTGGAACATCTGTGCATAATTCATCATGACCAGACTGACGATCCACAGGGACAGGTGGAGAAATCGAGGCCACCACTTCAGTCACATTCATTTCTGGTGTGGATTGGTCAGGCGGTACTTCTTGTGTAGTTTCTTTATTCTGGAATTCCTCTGTACATACTGTTGGTAGAGGTGCACTTTCTTTCCCAGTGGCGGTTTCATCATCAAGAGTTTCTTCAGGGATTTCAGCAGTAGGTTCTATTACAATAGCAGTTTTGTCTTGTGAAGTTGTGGTCACAGAATCTGATAGAATGCTTGGGTACTTTTCATTCTCTAACCCTACACGACCAGTTTCTCCTTTTGGGATGCTATCTGGTTGCTTTGCTTCAGAATCAAGTTCATTATCGATCGCCTGTTGTGCATGAGCTTCAGTTTGTACGGTTATGACTTCTGGAGTAGTTGAAGGTTGGATGTATGTTGAGATTTCTAGCTCTTCAGCTGTGTCTTTCGTTACTGTTAATCCAGCTTCATCTGGATCTTTAATTGTTTCCTTGCTTTCTCCGATCTCCTCCACTCGTTGCATGTCTTGAGCACTTTCTGCAACGATCTTAATTGTCTCAGCTTTGTCACCTTGTGCATCCTTTGTTTCTTCACTTAATGGTCGCTTTGCTCTCGCAGTGTCGGATGGTGCAATTACAACGTCACTTTCCTTTTGTTGATCTTTTTCAGTTATTGCTTCTATCGTCTCAATGTCACCGGATAGTGTGATGACATCAGTCGATTTGGTAACAGCTTTGCCTTTGATTTTTACCGTTTTGTCACCAGTTTCTTCCAGACTTTTTAAAACCGCTTCACCTTCTAAACTAGTGCTCAATTTTGCTTCTTTGATCTCTTCTTCTGATACCACTGTAAGGTCGTTAATCGTCGTCAATATGTCTTGTTTGTTTCCAGATGATTGAGTTTGAACATCGAATTCTTTTTTCAAATCATCAATATCCTTTGATGAATCTGCACCCAATTTATTTTCTTCAGAATGTGATGTGTCTGACGCATCTGTTGCTAACATGTCCGTATTCGAAAACTTGATGCTGATTTCTACATCATGACTGACTTCAGGAATGCTTGTGATCAGCAAAGCTTCTTTGGAACTAGTTTTCAAACATTCTGGAGTCTCTGTTGGTTCACAAATGTTTTCTTGTTTTTGAGCAGTTTGGACACTTGCTGACATTTCAGATTCAGTGCCAATAATTGTCTTGGTTGTAACAAGTGCATCTGTGACTTGTTTTTCTACTGCGCTTTCTATATCTTTTACAGGTGCTGTAGTTTCCTTATCACCTTCTTTAGTGGCTTTGATTGAGTCGACCTCATTGGATTGAGAATCAGTATCTGCTGGGATTGATCTGTCAGTCTCTACATTTTCAGACTTTGTTGTTGAAGGTTGGATGTATGTTGAGATTTCTAGCTCTTCAACTGTGTCTTTCGTTACTGTTAATCCAGCTTCATCTGGTTCTTTAATTGTTTCCTTGCTTTCTCCGATCTCCTCCACTCGTTGCATGTCTTGAGCACTTGCTGCAACGATCTTAATTGTCTCAGCTTTGTCACCTTGTGCATCCTTTGTTTCTTCACTTAATGGTCGCTTTGCTCTCGCAGTGTCGGATGGTGCAATTACAACGTCATTTTCCTTTTGTTGATCTTTTTCAGTTATTGCTTCTATCGTCTCAATGTCACCGGATAGTGTGATGACATCAGTCGATTTGGTAACAGCTTTGTCCTTTGATTTTTACCGTTTTGTCACCAGTTTCTTCCAGACTTTTTAAAACCGCTTCACCTTCTAAACTAGTGCTCAATTTTGCTTCTTTGATCTCTTCTTCTGATACCACTGTAAGGTCGTTAATCGTCGTCAATATGTCTTGTTTGTCTCCAGATGATGAAGGTTGAACATCGAATTCTTTTTTCAAATCATCAATATCCTTTGATGAATCTGCAGCCAATTTATTTTCGTCAGAATGTGATGTGTCTGACGCATCTGTTGCTAACATTTCCGTATTCGACAACTTGATGCTGATTTCTACATCATGACTGACTACTGGAATGCTTGTGATCAGCAAAGCTTCTTTGTAACTAGTTTTCAAACATTCTGGAGTCTCTGTTGGTTCACAAATGTTTTCTTGTTTTTGAGCAGTTTGGACACTTGCTAACATTTCAGATTCAGTGCCAATAATTGTCTTGGTTGTAACAAGTGCATCTGTGACTTGTTTTTCTACTGTGGTTTCTATATCTTTTACATGTGCTGTAGTTTCCTTATCACCTTCTTTAGTGGCTTTGATTGAGCCGACCGCATTGGATTTAGAATCAGTGTCTGCTGGGATTGATCTGTCAGTCTCTACATTTTCAGACTTTGAGCTGAAAAATTCTTTCGTCTTATCTTTTAATCTCTGAAAGAGTGGTTTTCCCACATCTTGACTGGTTGCTTCATCAAATGTATCACCTGGTGGTGCACGCTTCGGTTTGTCTTGCGTGTGTCCATTTAAATCTGTTGGTTGGTCAATTTTAATTGGAACATCTGTGCATAATTCATCATGACCAGACTGAAGATCCACAGGGACAGGTGGAGAAATCGAGGCCACCACTTCAGTCACATTCATTTCTAGTGTGGATTGGTCAGGCGGTACTTCTTGTGTAGTTTCTTTATTCTGGAATTCCTCTGTACATACTGTTGGTAGAGGTGCACTTTCTTTCCCAGTGGCGGTTTCATCATCAAGAGTTTCTTCAGGGATTTCAGCAGTAGGTTCTATTACAATAGCAGTTTTGTCTTGTGAAGTTGTGGTCACAGAATCTGATAGAATGCTTGGGTACTTTTCATTCTCTAACCCTACACGACCAGTTTCTCCTTTTGGGATGATCCTATCTGGTTGCTTTGCTTCAGAATCAAGTTCATTATCGATCGCCTGTTGTGCATGAGCTTCAGTTTGTACGGTTATGACTTCTGGAGTAGTTGAAGGTTGGATGTATGTTGAGATTTCTAGCTCTTCAGCTGTGTCTTTCGTTACTGTTAATCCAGCTTCATCTGGTTCTTTAATTGTTTCCTTGCTTTCTCCGATCTCCTCCACTCGTTGCATGTCTTGAGCACTTGCTGCAACGATCTTAATTGTCTCAGCTTTGTCACCTTGTGCATCCTTTGTTTCTTCACTTAATGGACGCTTTGCTCTCGCAGTGTCGGATGGTGCAATTACAACGTCACTTTCCTTTTGTTGATCTTTTTCAGTTATTGCTTCTATCGTCTCAATGTCACCGGATAGTGTGATGACATCAGTCGATTTGGTAACAGCTTTGCCTTTGATTTTTACCGTTTTGTCACCAGTTTCTTCCAGACTTTTTAAAACCGCTTCACCTTCTAAACTAGTGCTCAATTTTGCTTCTTTGATCTCTTCTTCTGATACCACTGTAAGGTCGTTAATCGTCGTCAATATGTCTTGTTTGTCTCCAGATGATTGAGTTTGAACATCGAATTCTTTTTTCAAATCATCAATATCCTTTGATGAATCTGCACCCAATTTATTTTCTTCAGAATGTGATGTGTCTGACGCATCTGTTGCTAACATGTCCGTATTCGAAAACTTGATGCTGATTTCTACATCATGACTGACTTCAGGAATGCTTGTGATCAGCAAGGCTTCTTTGGAACTAGTTTTCAAACATTCTGGAGTCTCTGTTGGTTCACAAATGTTTTCTTGTTTTTGAGCAGTTTGGACACTTGCTGACATTTCAGATTCAGTGCCAATAATTGTCTCGATTGTAACAAGTGCATCTGTGACATGTTTTTCTACTGCGCTTTCTATATCTTTTACAGGTGCTGTAGTTTCCTTATCACCTTCTTTAGTGGCTTTGATTGAGTCGACCTCATTGGATTGAGAATCAGTATCTGCTGGGATTGATCTGTCAGTCTCTACATTTTCAGACTTTGTTGTTGAAGGTTGGATGTATGTTGAGATTTCTAGCTCTTCAACTGTGTCTTTCGTTACTGTTAATCCAGCTTCATCTGGTTCTTTAATTGTTTCCTTACTTTCTCCGATCTCCTCCACTCGTTGCATGTCTTGAGCACTTGCTGCAATGATCTTAGTTGTCTCAGCTTTGTCACCTTGTGCATCCTTTGTTTCTTCACTTAATGGACGCTTTGGACTCGCAGTGTCGGATGGTGCAATTACAACGTCACTTTCCTTTTGTTGATCTTTTTCAGTTATTGCTTCTATCATCTCAATGTCACTGGATAGTGTGATGACATCAGTCGATTTGGTAACAGCTTTGTCTTTGATTTTTACCGTTTTGTCACCAGTTTCTTCCAGCCTTTTTAAAACCGCTTCACCTTCTAAACTAGTGCTCAATTTTGCTTCTTTGATCTCTTCTTCTGATACCACTGTAAGGTCGTTAATCGTCGTCAATATGTCTTGTTTGTCTCCAGATGATGAAGGTTGAACATCGAATTCTTTTGTCAAATCATCAATATCCTTTGATGAATCTGCAGCCAATTTATTTTCGTCAGAATGTGATGTGTCTGACGCATCTGTTGCTAACATTTCCGTATTCGACAACTTGATGCTGATTTCTACATCATGACTGACTTCAGGAATGCTTGTGATCAGCAAAGCTTCTTTGGAACTAGTTTTCAAACATTCTGGAGTCTCTGTTGGTTCACAAATGTTTTCTTGTTTTTGAGCAGTTTGGACACTTGCTGACATTTCAGATTCAGTGCCAATAATTGTCTTGGTTGTAACAAGTGCATCTGTGACTTGTTTTTCTACTGTGGTTTCTATGTCTTTTACATGTGCTGTAGTTTCCTTATCACCTTCTTTAGTGGCTTTGATTGAGCCGACCGCATTGGATTTAGAATCAGTGTCTGCTGGGATTGATCTGTCAGTCTCTACATTTTCAGACTTTGAGCTGAAAAATTCTTTCGTCTTCTCTTTTAATCTCTGAAAGAGTGGTTTTCCCACATCTTGACTGGTTGCTTCATCAAATGTATCACCTGGTGGTGCACGCTTCGGTTTGTCTTGCGTGTGTCCATTTAAATCTGTTGGTTGGTCAATTTTAATTGGAACATCTGTGCATAATTCATCATGACCAGACTGAAGATCCACAGGGACAGGTGGAGAAATCGAGGCCACCACTTCAGTCACATTCATTTCTAGTGTGGATTGGTCAGGCGGTACTTCTTGTGTAGTTTCTTTATTCTGGAATTCCTCTGTACATAGTGTTGGTAGAGGTGCACTTTCTTTCCCAGTGGCGGTTTCATCATCAAGAGTTTCTTCAGGGATTTCAGCAGTAGGTTCTATTACAATAGCAGTTTTGTCTTGTGAAGTTGTGGTCACAGAATCTGATAGAATGCTTGGGTACTTTTCATTCTCTAACCCTACACGACCAGTTTCTCCTTTTGGGATGATCCTATCTGGTTGCTTTGCTTCAGAATCAAGTTCATTATCGATCGCCTGTTGTGCATGAGCTTCAGTTTGTACGGTTATGACTTCTGGAGTAGTTGAAGGTTGGATGTATGTTGAGATTTCTAGCTCTTCAGCTGTGTCTTTCGTTACTGTTAATCCAGCTTCATCTTGGTTCTTTAATTGTTTCCTTGCTTTCTCCGATCTCCTCCACTCGTTGCATGTCTTGAGCACTTGCTGCAACGATCTTAATTGTCTCAGCTTTGTCACCTTGTGCATCCTTTGTTTCTTCACTTAATGGACGCTTTGCTCTCGCAGTGTCGGATGGTGCAATTACAACGTCACTTTCCTTTTGTTGATCTTTTTCAGTTATTGCTTCTATCGTCTCAATGTCACCGGATAGTGTGATGACATCAGTCGATTTGGTAACAGCTTTGCCTTTGATTTTTACCGTTTTGTCACCAGTTTCTTCCAGACTTTTTAAAACCGCTTCACCTTCTAAACTAATTGCTCAATTTTGCTTCTTTGATCTCTTCTTCTGATACCACTGTAAGGTCGTTAATCGTCGTCAATATGTCTTGTTTGTCTCCAGATGATTGAGGTTTGAACATCGAATTCTTTTTTCAAATCATCAATATCCTTTGATGAATCTGCACCCAATTTATTTTCTTCAGAATGTGATGTGTCTGACGCATCTGTTGCTAACATGTCCGTATTCGAAAACTTGATGCTGATTTCTACATCATGACTGACTTCAGGAATGCTTGTGATCAGCAAGCTTCTTTGGAACTAGTTTTCAAACATTCTGGAGTCTCTGTTGGTTCACAAATGTTTTCTTGTTTTTGAGCAGTTTGGACACTTGCTGACATTTCAGATTCAGTGCCAATAATTGTCTCGATTGTAACAAGTGCATCTGTGACATTGTTTTTCTACTGCGCTTTCTATATCTTTTACAGGTGCTGTAGTTCCTTATCACCTTCTTTAGTGGCTTTGATTGAGTCGACCTCATTGGATTGAGAATCAGTATCTGCTGGGATTGATCTGTCAGTCTCTACATTTTCAGACTTTGTTGTTGAAGGTTGGATGTATGTTGAGATTTCTAGCTCTTCAACTGTGTCTGTCGTTACTGTTAATCCAGCTTCATCTGGTTCTTTAATTGTTTCCTTACTTTCTCCGATCTCCTCCACTCGTTGCATGTCTTGAGCACTTGCTGCAATGATCTTAGTTGTCTCAGCTTTGTCACCTTGTGCATCCTTTGTTTCTTCACTTAATGGACGCTTTGGCACTCGCAGTGTCGGATGGTGCAATTACAACGTCACTTTCCTTTTGTTGATCTTTTTCAGTTATTGCTTCTATCATCTCAATGTCACTGGATAGTGTGATGACATCAGTCGATTTGGTAACAGCTTTGTCTTTGATTTTTACCGTTTTGTCACCAGTTTCTTCCAGCCTTTTTAAAACCGCTTCACCTTCTAAACTAGTGCTCAATTTTGCTTCTTTGATCTCTTCTTCTGATACCACTGTAAGGTCGTTAATCGTCGTCAATATGTCTTGTTTGTCTCCAGATGATGAAGGTTGAACATCGAATTCTTTTGTCAAATCATCAATATGCTTTGATGAATCTGCAGCCAATTTATTTTCGTCAGAATGTGATGTGTCTGACGCATCTGTTGCTAACATTTCCGTATTCGACAACTTGATGCTGATTTCTACATCATGACTGACTACTAGGAATGCTTGTGATCAGCAAAGCTTCTTTGGAACTAGTTTTCAAACATTCTGGAGTCTCTGTTGGTTCACAAATGTTTTCTTGTTTTTGAGCAGTTTGGACACTTGCTGACATTTCAGATTCAGTGCCAATAATTGTCTTGGTTGTAACAAGTGCATCTGTGACTTGTTTTTCTACTGTGGTTTCTATGTCTTTTACATGTGCTGTAGTTTCCTTATCACCTTCTTTAGTGGCTTTGATTGAGCCGACCGCATTGGATTTAGAAACAGTGTCTGCTGGGATTGATCTGTCAGTCTCTACATTTTCAGACTTTGAGCTGAAAAATTCTTTCGTCTTCTCTTTTAATCTCTGAAAGAGTGGTTTTCCCACATCTTGACTGGTTGCTTCATCAAATGTATCACCTGGTGGTGCACGCTTCGGTTTGTCTTGCGTGTGTCCATTTAAATCTGTTGGTTGGTCAATTTTAATTGGAACATCTGTGCATAATTCATCATGACCAGACTGAAGATCCACAGGGACAGGTGGAGAAATCGAGGCCACCACTTCAGTCACATTCATTTCTAGTGTGGATTGGTCAGGCGGGTACTTCTTGTGTAGTTTCTTTATTCTGGAATTCCTCTGTACATACTGTTGGTAGAGGTGCACTTTCTTTCCCAGTGGCGGTTTCATCATCAAGAGTTTCTTCAGGGATTTCAGCAGTAGGTTCTATTACAATAGCAGTTTTGTCTTGTGAAGTTGTGGTCACAGAATCTGATAGAATGCTTGGGTACTTTTCATTCTCTAACCCTACACGACCAGTTTCTCCTTTTGGTATGATCCTATCTGGTTGCTTTGCTTCAGAATCAAGTTCATTATCGATCGCCTGTTGTGCATGAGCTTCAGTTTGTACGGTTATGACTTCTGGAGTAGTTGAAGGTTGGATGTATGTTGAGATTTCTAGCTCTTCAGCTGTGTCTTTCGTTACTGTTAATCCAGCTTCATTTGGTTCTTTAATTGTTTCCTTGCTTTCTCCGATCTCCTCCACTCGTTGCATGTCTTGAGCACTTGCTGCAACGATCTTAATTGTCTCAGCTTTGTCACCTTGTGCATCCTTTGTTTCTTCACTTAATGGACGCTTTGCTCTCGCAGTGTCGGATGGTGCAATTACAACGTCACTTTCCTTTTGTTGATCTTTTTCAGTTATTGCTTCTAACGTCTCAATGTCACCGGATAGTGTGATGACATCAGTCGATTTGGTAACAGCTTTGCCTTTGATTTTTACCGTTTTGTCACCAGTTTCTTCCAGACTTTTTAAAACCGCTTCACCTTCTAAACAATTGCTCAATTTTGCTTCTTTGATCTCTTCTTCTGATACCACTGTAAGGTCGTTAATCGTCGTTAATATGTCTTGTTTGTCTCCAGATGATTGAGGTTGAACATCGAATTCTTTTTTCAAATCATCAATATCCTTTGATGAATCTGCAGACAATTTATTTTCTTCACAATGTGATGTGTCTGACGCATCTGTTGCTAACATGTCCGTATTCGACAACTTGATGCTGATTTCTACATCATGACTGACTTCAGGAATGCTTGTGATCAGCAAAGCTTCTTTGGAACTAGTTTTCAAACATTCTGGAGTCTCTGTTGGTTCACAAATGTTTTCTTGTTTTTGAGCAGTTTGGACACTTGCTGACATTTCAGATTCAGTGCCAATAATTGTCTCGGTTGTAACAAGTGCATCTGTGACTTGTTTTTCTACTGCGCTTTCTATATCTTTTACAGGTGCTGTAGTTCCCTTATCACCTTCTTTAGTGGCTTTGATTGAGTCGACCTCATTGGATTGAGAATCAGTATCTGCTGGGATTGATCTGTCAGTCTCTACATTTTCAGACTTTGTTGTTGAAGGTTGGATGTATGTTGAGATTTCTAGCTCTTCAACTGTGTCTTTCGTTACTGTTAATCCAGCTTCATCTGGTTCTTTAATTGTTTCCTTACTTTCTCCGATCTCCTCCACTCGTTGCATGTCTTGAGCACTTGCTGCAATGATCTTAGTTGTCTCAGCTTTGTCACCTTGTGCATCCTTTGTTTCTTCACTTAATGGACGCTTTGCACTCGCAGTGTCGGATGGTGCAATTACAACGTCACTTTCCTTTTGTTGATCTTTTTCAGTTATTGCTTCTTTCGTCTCAATGTCACTGGATAGTGTGATGACATCAGTCGATTTGGTAACAACTTTGTCTTTGATTTTTACCGTTTTGTCACCAGTTTCTTCCAGCCTTTTTAAAACCGCTTCACCTTCTAAACTAGTGCTCAATTTTGCTTCTTTGATCTCTTCTTCTGATACCACTGTAAGGTCGTTAATCGTCGTCAATATGTCTTGTTTGTCTCCAGATGATGAAGGTTGAACATCGAATTCTTTTGTCAAATCATCAATATCCTTTGATGAATCTGCAGCCAATTTATTTTCGTCAGAATGTGATGTGTCTGACGCATCTGTTGCTAACATTTCCGTATTCGACAACTTGATGCTGATTTCGACATCATGACTGACTACTGGAATGCTTGTCATCAGCAAAGCTTCTTTGGAACTAGTTTTCAAACATTCTGGAGTCTCTGTTGGTTCACAAATGTTTTCTTGTTTTTGAGCAGTTTGGACACTTGCTGACATTTCAGATTCAGTGCCAATAATTGTCTTGGTTGTAACAAGTGCATCTGTGACTTGTTTTTCTACTGTGGTTTCTATATCTTTTACATGTCCTGTAGTTTCCTTATCACCTTCTTTAGTGGCTTTGAATGAGTCGACCTCATTTGATTGAGAATCAGTATCTGCTGGGATTGATTTGTCAGTGTCCACATTTTCAGACTTTGAGCTGAAAAAGTCTTTCGTCTTCTCTTTTAATCTCTGAAAGAGTGGTTTTCCCACATCTTGACTGGTTGCTTCATCAAATGTATCACCTGGTGGTGCAACACTTGGGTTGTCTTGCTTGTGTCCATTTAAATCTGTTGGTTGGTCAATTTTAATTGGAACATCTGTGCATAATTCATCATGATCAGACTGAAGTTCCACAGGGACAGGTGGAGAAATCGAGGCCACCACTTCAGTCACATTCATTTCTAGTGTGGATTGGTCAGGCGGTACTTCTTGTGTAGTTTCTTTATTCTGGAATTCCTCTGTACATACTGTTGGTAGAGGTGCACTTTCTTTCCCAGTGGCGGTTTCATCATTAAGAGTTTCTTCAGGGGTTTCAGCAGTAGGTTCTATTACTATAGCAGTTTTGTCTTGTGAAGTTGTCGTCACAGAATCTGAAAGAATGCTTGGGTACTTTTCATTCTCTAACCCTACACGAGCAGTTTCTCCTTTTGGGATGATCCTATCCGGTTGCTTGGCTTCAGAATCAACTTCATTATCGATCTCCTTTTGTGCAAGAGCTTCAGTTTGTACGGTTGTGACTTCTGGAGTAGTTGAAGGTTGCATGCATGTTGAGATTTCTAGCTCTTCAAATCTGTCTTTCATTACTGTTAATCCAGCTTCATCTGGTTCTTTAATTGTTTCCTTGCTTTCTCCGATCTTCTCCACTCGTTGCATGTCTTGAGCACTT